TATACCAGCATTTTGAAAGGCTTGACTGACCTTCTGGAAATCTTCTTGTATGTTTTCCATTTTGGTGCTCAATTCATTGTTTTGATCCTTCAAATGACGTATTTGAACTTCGAATCTAAGCAAATCTTCTTCCTTTTGAACGCCCCTACTGATATTCTTACCTTTGAAGACTTTTGGTATTAATCTATCAGGACCCTCAGTTACCAAACTAGGTCGATCATTTACCATAAATTGCAAGGTTCCATGATCCAAAAGACTTTGAACTCGACGTTTGAAGGCAAGACAATTCTCGATGGTATGTCCTTGAGCTCTGGCATGATATTCACAATGAACGTTGATGTCATACCAATTTGGATATGGAGGTTGGAATGGTTTTATGTAATATGGAGCCACTTCTCGTGCTTCAAGTAACTTCTCATACAACTCTTTATATAATATAGGGATAGCATCAAAATGAGAACCACCTTTTGTTTTGGATTGAACCTGAGTTTTAGACGTCGGGAGCAGACCAAACTTTGATGATTTCTGATTACATGATTTCTTCTCTTCTCTGGGAGCTTGTACAGTCATCACCATTTCTTTGGTATCTCCAGACGATTTGTGAATACGAATGATGACTGTCTGTAATTTCTCAAATTGGTTAAGAATCGAAGTCCCTTGCGTATCTGAAACTGCAGGGTTAGGTTCATTGAGCTCTCTCTCTTTCTGTGCTGGAATCTCTTTTCCTTTGGCCAAAACAGATATTCTATCCATCATCTTGGACATCTGCTCTCTTATTTCTCGTATCTCCTCTTGCTCCTTAATGGTCATACGATCTTTGGGTGCATAGCTTGCTTCTATCCTCAGAGTTTCCTCAGGATGTCTTTCTTTGGCCGCATCATATTTTGTTTTATCATAAAACTTTTTGTCCATTTACGATTTCTTTCCAATACGATGAACAATCTTTCTAGTAAACACCTTTTTGGTTATGCTATGATCATGCAATGCAAACAAAAGAAATGAGAAAAAATAAAATAGTTATTACCAACTAATAAAAAATCTATCTATTAAGGTAGAAATCTTAACCTCATGCTTTCTAGTTCCATGTTTTGTTAGGAAAAATTAACCTAACCGCATGATTTTTAGTTCGCAGGCATTTATTCAGGGAGAAAAAATAATAATAAATTAAATAAATTAAAAGCTAGAGCTTATTTCTCCTTTGTGTACACATATGAACAGAGGTTCAGTACTGTCTTAGATTAGGTGAATTTCTAGGGTTTATTATATGCAGAGTTTCAGTTCTAGGAGTAAAGGTACTCGAATTGTCCTTGTTGATGCCCCCTTGGGCTGTCAACCCTCAATCCTAGTCCATTACAGACTTTAAACGGATCGAGTTCAATTCGAGGGGACACATTTCTCTATACCTGACACGGAGAATAAATTCTCACGAAGACATAGAGCATATGAACCCCGAAAGTTACTTGCTAGGTCTGACACGGAGAATAAATTCTCACGAAGACGTCGCTTTCACTCCCACTTAAAAGGACAAACTCAATTATAGAGCTTTATGTTATGCAAGTGTTGTGTGTGAGGAGAAATGTTAAAACCTCTAACAAACAGATAAAATAATTAATTCTTGAATATAATAAATAAATAAAATAATAAGTAATAAAAAATTTGAAAGAAAAGAATTAAAAATTAAATATATGAATTTTTAATTTCTAAGTGATAGAGACAATTTACAATTGATTTTAAAGTTTGACTTGAATCCCCAGCGGAGTCGCCAAGCTGTCGTAACCGGTTTTAGTCCGGGCACGAAAAATTTATTTGGCGGAAAAATTGATGTGAATAAATGGTTTTTAAAATAATTTGGGAGTCGCCATCGGCCTTTTGGGTCAGGTAGGTCGAATACCTAAAAATCATCTTTTAAAAGAGTTTTTAAGAAAACATAGATTAAAAGATAAGCTGATCTGCGTTTTAACCAAAAATTTATTCTTTTTAATAATAAAAAGGGATTCGTGGTCGGTTACGTTTAGGGAAGGATTAGCACCCCTACAACGCCTAAAATTGGTACTTTTTAATTATAAATTGTCTCTTATTATTAGAAATTAAAATTTAAAATATTTAATTTAAAGTTATTACTATAATTTTAAGTAAATTTATTAATTTATATAAATAAGATATTTATTTAGAAATATCAGAAAAGAGCTTCTAGGTGTTTTAAGACAGCTCCTTCCTTTGATATTAAAAAATAAATAAATATTAAAACATTTATCTAAAAAATAATAGATTAATATATAAAAGTAAAATATTTATTTATTTAAAATTATCAGAAAACAGACATCTAGTTGCTTTAAGACTATCATTTTCTTTGATATTAAAAAATAAATAAACATTATTATAAAATTTTTATAAAATTAATCAAATAATATATTAATATTATTAAAAATAATAATTATTATTAATTTAAATATATAACAATAAAATAAAATTGCAATGTAATAAATAAAATTAAAATTATATAATCAAAATATAAAGTATTGAAAATGAAAGATCAAATTCGAAATATTAAGAAATCTATATCCTAATATTTTAATTTAACCTTAATTATTTATTCAGGGCTAAAATAAAATTTAAAAAACTAGGAGGGACTAAATGCAATATTTATCCTAAATATATTATTTTAATATAAAGGACTAAAATAAATAAAACTAAAATTAAAGAACCGAATTAAAAGGATTATAAATTGATTTAGTGACTAAAATGTAAAGTTTACAAATTAGGATGGCTGCGGAAAGGATTTACCCCCTGATGGAAATTACATGCACACCCCTCCCCCAAAACGACGTCGTTCGAGGAGGGGTTTAAATACCTCAAATGGCCGGCCATTCGGGCCATCTTCCTCACTCTCTTCTTTCTCTCTTATCTCTCTAACTGAGAAAATTAAAAATTCTCTCTAACTCTCTCAACGGAGAGAATCCCGGCAACCACGGGCCACCGTTCTCCGGTGGCGATCGCCGCCGCCGGCCACCGTCAATGGTGGCCGGAAATTTACAAAACCCCCAGAAGATAGATCTGAACTCCCTAATGACGGTTCTTGTCTCCTTTTTCCCTAAATATCTTTAGATCGACGTAGATCTAATTTTTTTTACCTTCGAAAAATGAGACTCCGGTGACGCTCGGTATTTCCGGCAATGAGCGAGGCTTCAAGGGTAAGTTCCTCTTCTTCTCTTCGTTTCTATTTTGGTTTACTGCTGGTTGTGGGTTCGTCTCTGTTGCTCGTTTCTATTGCTCGTCTCTGTGTATCTCTTCTCCCCTTTTTTTTTGTTTGCAGGGAACCAGTGGCTTTTATAGCCACCATGAGGTTCGTCTCGGACCGGTCACAAAGGGGTGACCTTTGGTGAGTCACCGGACTATGGTGGTGACTCACCATAGGGCGCACTTCTGGAGTCTTCAACGGGCGTGGCTGAAGCTGAGACGTTGGTGTGGCGGTGGAGTCTTCTGGAAGCAGAGGCGGAGGCTGGGACGTGTTCCTAGGGTATCATCACCCTAGGGTTTTATCTGGAAAGCTGTGGACCGTTGTAATAATATATATAATATAATAATAATATTTATAATAATAATAATAATAATTTTAGTAAAATGAAAAATTAGTGTTCACACAATGTCAGTGCTAATACCAAACAATGGCTCATCAGTCATCACCATATTGTATTCCTTTAAGTCATTGAACCGAATCCTAAAAGCCTATTTCTCATGTGTCATGGCTGTTAGGCCATATTGCCTGTTTTCCTTATTTTGTGTTACCTTTCTCATGAAAATCAGTGTAGTTGAAAATCCTAACCCTTGAACCAATTTAAGAACAAGAAAAACCTGAATTTACAGTATCCTTCAGAAAATTATGTCTGTGAATTCAAATCATATGGCGGATTTATCATTGCTAGTTTCTGTTCAAGTTTTGCAATCCGAATCTGCAGACAAAGCATAACAAATAATTTCTTTAAATAAATTGCAAATCAGTGTAACACATTCAGAAATGGAGTGACATAGTTCAGTGTCCATTCCATGTACAACCAACCAGTGGGATCATGTCCAGGTACACACAATCCCCTTCTTATCTGCAGAGGCTAATGGTTTTCCAAGTACAACACATGTCGAACTGCTGTCACTTGAATGTTTCAGGAAGTATACAGTTACAAAAGGAACCTGAAAAGTCAAATACCTCGTTTATCAGATGAAATAATTGCATGGACTACATAATCCACAGTAAAATATCCTAGAAGTGTACAGAATCCACTGTTAAATATCCTAGAAGTGTTGGGGAGCTATTTCATTCAATCCTTCAAAAATAAATTATAGACATGATATCCCCTGCACAAGACAATCTAACAATGAGAAATACTTTTAAAACATGCAATATGAATATGAAATCAACTGCCATTAGAAGCTATCTCCTAAGGTACTCAAATACAACACAGAATGTTTGATCACATGCACGTAAACGAGCAAGCAGTTTTCCCACCTAGTCGAGCCAGCCTATTTACCCATCCGGGAATATGTTTTCCATTTAGCTTCATACACACGTCATCGGTGAAATGGTTGTAATTCTTAGCAATAAAATGATATGTGTCCCCGTGGTATTTATCCGAAAGTTGTTCCATAAATAACCAAAATTCTGAAAGAGACATGTCGGTGCTGCCCAACAATACAGATCGTCTGAAGATGAAACCAGGACAACTTCTTGGTTCAACTTCAAACACCCCACTTGTAGGGTACTAGTGTGCTCCAAAGCCATACCCCATCCCATGCACTGATTGGCAGCAAACAAGGAAAACTAAATCAATCCAACAAATTTTGAAGAAAAAAAAACAGGAGAATGTCAAAGGTTAACATTTTCTTTTAATACATAACAAACCATTTTGTGATGGGGACTATGGGGTATGGAAAAACTTTACAAAACATAGATGATAGCAAAATTAGATTAACTAATGTCATCAAGGTAAAGATTTAAGCTACTCGAAATGGAAATCAAATTGCATAACACATTTGTGATTGTCAATGGTCTTTCAATAGTTTGGTCTCCTATAGTTGTTCGTTTGTCGATACAATTAGGTCTATTTGTATCTATCTTTGGCTTTAAAGATCTGTTTGACTGGCAGCACTTCATCGAGACCCTGAAGGATGATGTCCACATAGTTGAGACAATATCACCTGAGTATGCTGGAATTGAACCATTTAACAAAACGCCAATATCCTGGTCTAAGGTTAGCTATTATAAGGCAGAGGTCCTTCCATTACTGAAGCAGCATAAAGTAATCTATTTTACTCACACCGATTCTCGGCTTGCCAATAATGGTATCTCAAGTTCCATACAAAAGCTGAGGTGCCGTGTAAACTACAAGGCACTGAAATATTCAGCTGCAATTGAAGAACTTGGAAACACATTGATTTCTAGAATGCGCCAAAATGGAAGCCCTTATCTTGCTCTACATTTGAGGCAAGTAGAATAAATTTATTTCTTTTGCATATCGATGCTACATTATGTTGATAAATTAGGCAAAGTAAACGAAAGAACACAAGAATTTTAACGAGGTTCGGCAATGTGCTTACGTCCTCGGTGCCTAGGTGGCGCTAGAAAATTTTATTCAATTCTCATAGGTTTAGGTTACATCTCTATTTATAATAGAAAACCCTTGTACATAATTACAAAATTAACCCTGTACCGTACCACGGGGGCTGTGCCCCTGCACCCTCAACCCACATAATCGTAACCCCCTCTACGAGACTTTCTTTGTAAAGATAGTTGATGTTCGCTGCGTTCGCTTCGCTCACTCCGCTCCATCCCATGTCCTCTTTACCGGTATATTTATGAGCCATACCTTACAAATCTCCACCTTGGCGAATATCCTGCCCCTTAGGAAACATTCACTGTGGGTTGGGTTACCTTAGTTCTTTAACAACTTGAAACATTCAACAAGTCCAAGCAATGCTTGAACTTGTCTGTCGTAACTGGCTTGGTGAACATATCAACGACATTCTCATCAGTGTGTACCTTCTGAAACAAAATCTCTTCAGATGCAACCAACTCTCTGATCTTGTGAAAACGTACATCAATGTGCTTAGTTCTAGCACGATATACCTGATTCTTAGCTAAGTGAATAACACTTTGATTGTCGCAAAGCAGCTGAACTCCACCTTGCTGAACACCCAACTCCTTCACTAAACCAGTGAGCCATAAAGCTTCTTTTGCAGCTTCAGCCACTGTCATGTACTCAGCTTCAGTTGTAAATAGTGCCACTACAGATTGAACAGTAGACTTCCAACAAATAGGTCCTCCACCAAGAGTAAAAACATACCCTGTCGTAGATCTTCTATTATCCAAGTCACCTGTATAGTCTGAATCCACATATCCTACAACCAAAGGATTATCTCGTTGACTACCAAAAACAATTCCATGTCCCACAGTACCCTTTAAGTATCGAAAGATCCACTTGACTGCTTCCCAATGTTGCTTACCAGGTTTAGACATGTACTTACAAACTTGACTAACAGCATGAGCTAAATCAGGACGAGTACATACCATTGCATACATCAAGCAATCAACATCATTAGAATATGGAACATTTGTCATATCTTCAGCTTCCTTATCTGTCTTAGGGAACTGTTCTGATGAGAGCTTAAAGTGGTTCGCCAATGGAGTGCTAACTGGTTTTGCGCTGCTCATCGCAAACCTTTCTAGCATTTTTTCAACATAACCCCGTTGAGATAGCCACAGTCTCCTTGAGTCTCTGTCCCTACAAATTTCCATTCCAAGAATTTTCTTTGGAGCACCTAAATCTTTCATATCAAATTCCTGACTCAATAAAGTTTTCAAACCGATAACATCATCCATGTTCTTCCAGCAATCAACATATCATCAACATACAACAATAGAAAAATAAAAGAACCATCATCAAGGCTCTTAACATAGACACAACAATCATACTCACATCGGTTGTAGCCAATCTTGATCATATAGGAGTCAAACTGTTTATACCACTGTCTCGGAGACTGTTTCAACCCGTACAAAGATTTATTCAATCTGCAAACTAAATGCTCGTTTCCAGGTTGAGTGAAACCTTCAGGTTGCCGCATGTAGATCTGCTGCTCTAAATCACCATGCAAAAAAGCAGTTTTAACATCCATCTGCTCTAAATGCAAATCCCAACTGGCCACCAATGCAAGTACTGCTCGGATTGAAGTGTGCCTGACCACAGGAGAAAAAATTTCAACATAATCAACTCCTTTCTGCTGTGAAAAACCCTTTGCTACCAAACGAGCCTTGAACTTGAACTTCTCCCCCTCTTTTTCTGTTACTGCTGGTTTCTTTTTATACACCCATTTGCAACCAATCGGCTTTTTACCCTCAGGAAGGCGAACCAACTCCCATGTACGATTGTGATTCAAAGACTCCATCTCCTCAACCATGGCTGCCATCCACTTTTCGTTTTCCTGGCTAGTAACAACATCATGAAAATTAATCGGATCATCACTGCTAACAATAAGTGCAAAAGAGACCAAGTCTTCAAAACCCAATCTACTCGGAGGCTTTATATTCGTCCGTCTCACCCTATCTCTGGCGAGACTATAATCCTGCAAATCATCCGTAGTGGAACCACCAGAGGTCGGTTGAGAAGTTTCTGGTTTCTCAACTGGAAACTGCTCGAAATCCACCACTGTCGTGTCTTTCTTCTGTTGCAACATGGATTGTTCATCAAAAACAACATCTCTACTGATCATAATTTTCTTCGCAACTGGATCCCAGAACTTGAATCCTTTGACACCTTTCTTGTAACCCAGAAAAATGCACTACTTCGATTTTGCATCAAGTTTGGATCTCTCATCAGCAGGTACATGCACATAAGCAGGACAACCAAAAATCCGTAAGTTATCAAAACTAACATCATGACCAGTCCATACCTCTTCTGCAACTTTCCCAGCCAATGATGCCCTTGTAGATCTGTTGATAAGATAACACGCCATGTTAACAGCCTCGGCCCAGAAGTGTTTGGGAAGCCCAGCATTCAACCGCAAACATCTGGCTCTTTCATTCAACGACCTGTTCATCTGTTCTGCAACACCATTCTGTTGTGGTGTCTTGCGCACTGTAAAATGTCTCTTAATCCCGTGCTCCTTACAAAAGTGTAAGAACTGTGAATATGTGTACTCCGTACCATTTTCAGACCGTAAACACTTGATTTTTCGTCTTGTTTGGTTTTTTACCTCAGCTTTCCACAGCTTGAACTTCTCAAAAACTTCAGATTTCTGTTTCAAAAAATACACCCAAACTTTCCGTGAAAAATCATCAATAAAAGTAACATAATACCTAGATCAACCCAAAGACGATGTCGTGGAAGGCCCCCATACATCATAATGCACATAATCAATAATCCCTTGAGTTGTGTGCCTCGCAGTCTTGAAACAGACTTTAGTCTGTTTACCAAGAACACAATACTTGCAAAAATCGAGCTTACAGCTTTTGACACCATGCAACAAATTTCTTTTGTGTAATTCTATCATACCACGTTCACTAAGATAAGCAAGACGCATATGCCACAGTTTTGTAGTATCATCATATGACTCAACAGAATGAACTCCACCTGCAACGGTACTCCCTAACAATCTATAAATATTTCATGCAGTCATCTTTCCTTTCATCACAATCAAAGCACCTTTAACAATCCGAATGGTTTCCCTATCATCATCAGCCTTAGGGATAAAACCATTCTTGTGCAAAGTGCCCAAAGAAATCAAATTCTTCTTCAAATCTGGGATATGTCGAACACCACTCAACATCCGAACAGAGCCATCATACATCTTAATTCTTACATCACCAATACCAACAATATTGCAACATCGATCATCACCCAAATAAACAGAACCAGAATTAACCGACCTGTATGTCGAAAACCATTCCCTATTTGGCGTGATGTGATAAGAACATCCATAATCAAGAATCCACGCATCCGTCAATTGAGTCGTTGAAATAGAAAGCATATCACCCTCACTGCAATCAGAATTGTCATCCTCGACCACGTTCACAGACTTGGATGAAACATCACGCTTCTCATCAGTCTGCTTTTTCAACTTCGGACAGTCTCGCTTCATATGTCCCGCCTCCTTGCACTTGTAACAGTGAATTGTCTTCTTATCCCTAGATTTGGATCTGGAATTCCTCTTGCCAGACCCTGCCTTCTCTGGCTTCCGTCCACGGTCTCGATTACCCTTGACATATAAGCTATCGGCTTGAGAGTTTTCCCCTGCATTCTGCTTCCGCTGGTTGTGAGCCAACAAGGCTGCAGTAATCTCCTCAACGTTGATAGTCTCTTTCCCATATGTAAGAGTAGTCACCATGTGTTCGTAAGAGGGAGGCAACGAACACAACAAAATCATCGCTCTGTCTTCATCCTCAATTTTTACATCAAGCCGAGCCAAATCAGAAACGATTTGATTGAAGACATTCACGTGTTGCACCAAATCATGATCGTCCTGCATCTTCAGCCCATACAGCCGCTGCTTTAGATACAGTTTTGTCGTTAAGGATTTGGACATAAACTGACTTTCCAACTTCCTCCAAATTTCGTCTGGAGACGATAGATGCATGACGTGATACATAACCTCGTCCGCCAAGCATAATCGTATGGTTCCTGCCGCTCGTTGTTGCAATTCTTCCCAATCTTCCTCCTCCATCGACGCCGGCTTTGTAGGTCACAAAGCCTTCAGGATCCCCTACTGCGCCAACAGATCCTTCACCCTCGTTTGCCATAATCCGAAGTTACCCAGACCATCGAATTTCGCGATTTTGAATTTTGCTCCTGACATCTGATACCAATTGTTGATAAATTGGGCAAAGTAAACGAAAGAACACAAGAATTTTAACGAGGTTCGACAATGTGCTTACGTCCTCGGTGCCTAGGCGGCGCTAGAAAATTTTATTCAATTCTCACAGGTTTAGGTTACATCTCTATTTATAATAGAAAACCCTGGTACATAATTACAAAATTAACCCTGTACCGTACCGCGGGGGCTGCGCCCCCGCACCCTCAACCCACATAATCGTAACCCCCTCTACGAGACTTTCTTTGTAAAGACAGTTGATGTGCACTTCGCTCATGGTATCAGAGCGAAGAGAACGCATATGCCATAGTTTTGTAGTATCATCACAGGTTACATAATTCTCATAGGTTTAGGTTACATCTCTATTTATAATAGAAAAACCCTAGTACATAATTACAAATTTAACCCTGTACCGTACCACAGGGGCTACACCCCCAACCCACATAGTCGTAACCCCCTCTACGAGACTTTCTTTGTAAGGACAGTTGATGTTCGCTTCGCTCACTCCGCTCCATCCCCTGTCCTCTTTACCGGTATATTTATGAGACATACCTTACACATTACCACTTATCCAAAAACTAAAAGAAAAACAATACCATATTTCCCTTGCACCTTACTCTTATTGTTTGCATTTGATATTATAAAGCAGTTGTTTTCATGGGAAATGGGTTTATAGTATCATCTTTACATTCATGATAAATAGTAACATTGGTTAACTTGATATATTGCAAATAAATCAATGCTGATGTATGTTGTTACTTCTGTAGATATGAGATGGATATGCTTGCATTTACGGGTTGCAGTCATAGTTTGATATTAATGATATTAATGACTACATATGAATACTGTTCAACTATGTATTTATGTATTTATTTATACATGCATTGCATTTTATCTATATTTTTAATTTTCTGACTGCCGGAGGTCTTCCACGGAAGCTACCCTCAACCTGACGTCGGGGGCAGCCTACTACCCTACCTCCCCCTTACCCATTGCATATGGGAATTGGGTTTTGTTGTTGTTGTTTGGTTTGAAATTTTTTAATGAGTTTTTAATATTTTCCTTGTTTGATACTTATATGATTTTAAGTGACTCGACCTTTATCGAGTCATATGCTTGCCACCATCACATGGACAATATTCTCATAAGCTTTATCCACCATACGCATACATGCCATGCCACCAATGACACCGCCCCAACAATATCATTCATATCATCTTGCAATGCTCAGCCTACTTAGGCCTCGCAAACAGTCCAACAATATCAGTAATCCGGGCCATTGGAATGACCCAAAAGCCCACGGACCTTAAACAGAAAGGGTTCAACCGATTGCAATTGATTCACAAATTTATTAAATTTTTGTATTTTATTTTGGAAATCGATCTTTCATTCTTGGTAGGGAATTGTTTGTAATTATTATTTGTTTGTTGAATAAGATTTACTTTCGTCTTATGACGAGAGATAGATTCGTCCTTGGATTAAAATATTTATGATTAATTGCGAAATTCAAAGTTATTTTGAATTTTGGAATCTTGTTTTCTGAATTAGTTAAAATTTCATGATGAAAATTGCTCTTGAATGTTTAATATAATACAAAGAAACAACTGGTTAATTTGTAACCTGTCTCTATATTAAAAGACATGATTACATTTTAAAATGTTTATAATATTTCAATTTTATGTCTTATATGTTACTATTTTTGGAATTTAACCTGATAGGTGAAATTGAGGGTCCAAAATTTCTTATCAATCGGTTATATAGATTGAATTGAAGATTTATTCATGAACAATTATTTCAGAATGTGGTGAAGTTCTTTTGATTATAAAGGCTGTAATTAAATTTTTGGGAATTTATTAAGTACTGCGTTATTTATTATGTTCATTTTTTCAGATGTCTTACTCTAGGAGGTCACGCTATTCCCCTTCTCCATCCCCATACAAGAGGTACAGAGGGTCCATCTCACGATCCTTGTCAAGGTCAAGGAGTCGTTCAAGGTACTATTTAGTCATCTATTTCTGCCTTACTGCTTCTTATTTTATCTTTTGTCTTAAAATTTTGATGTGCTTTTCCGTTTGACATTTTTTCTTGGATTGGTAGGAGTGCTGAAAGTGATGTTGAAAATCCTGGGAACAATTTGTATGTGACAGGCTTGTCACATCGGATCACCAAGAAAGAGCTGGAGAAGCATTTTGCTAGTGAGGGGAAGGTATGGATGAGCATAACTTTCAAAGCGTGTATGGTAAATTTTAAATTTGTGAATATCAATTACCGAAAAAAGAAAAAAATTCATTCCATTCTCTGATGATATGCTGTTCAGCCTTTTTGACATGGTTAAGCAATTTCTATATGTGCTTTCCAAGTTCTTACAATGGGGAACTCAATTTATAGGTGGTTGATGTTCATCTTGTGGTTGATCCGTGGACAAGGGAATCCCGTGGTTTTGGATTTGTTACAATGTCGACTATAGAGGAAGCTGAACGATGCATCAAGTATTTGAACCGCTCTGTTCTTGAAGGGCGTGTCATTACAGTGGAGAAGGTAAAAGATCCTGAATTCAGTTTATCTTGATTAGGGGTTGCTTTGACAGTTATTGGTAATTGATCCTTACTTAAATTGCATAAGAATTATGGATGGTTTCCACTTGTAAGTTTTTGTGGCAGCAGGTTAGCTGTGTGTTTCAGCTCTTCACCAAATTCCAAAAGTCTTACACCTAACCAAACAAATCAAACACAACAAGAATCAGGCTGTTAGGGTTGTATGCCCTGAATTTCTCTCTGTATTCAACTGTTATGTCTTTTGTTGTTTCAATTATTCTGCATATGGATTCAAATTTATATTACCTGTTTCAGATAAAAGAAAAAGGAAAATGGAAAGCAGCTGTACTCTCATCCAGCACTTACTGTTTGTGTACTTTTTACAATTTCACTTTCTCATGCTCTGAGTCGTTTTTACTGCAGGCTAAGAGGCTGAGGGGGAGAACTCCTACTCCTGGAAGGTATTTGGGATTGAGAACTGCTCGTGGTATGATTCCTGATTGATGAATATTCTATTTATCTGGATTACTTGGTATCTGAGGACGCCAAATTGTGTTTTTTTAAATTCCTTCTCTGTATGCAGCTTGTCATCGATCTCGAAGCTACTCATCTTGTAGGTCTCCAAGTTATTCTTCTTACTTGAGGAGCCGCAGTCGATCTCATCGTTATTCATCTGACAAGAGTAGATCTTGCTCCCCTCGACACAGGGTGTACTCACGTTCTCCCTCCCCTTATAGTATTTGTTCAGATGACCGCAACTACGGAAGACGTGACCGTTCCTACTCTCCTGATGATAGATGCTACAGAAGACGGGATAGGTCTTACACTCCAGATGAACATTACTACCGTAGGCGAGATCGTTCCTACTCACCTGATGATCGATGCTATAGAAGGCGGGATCGTTCCTATTCACGAGATGATCGATACTGTAGAAGGCGGGATCGTTCCTACTCACCAGAAGATCGGTACTACAGAAGGCGGGATCGTTCCTACTCACCAGAAGATCGGTACTACAGAAGGCGAGATCGTTCCTACTCTCCAGATGATAGTCACAGTAGGAGACGAAACAGGGCCTATGATTTAGCAGACTGTAGAAGTTATAGAGGCCGTTCTGCTTCTGGGAGCCCTACGCCACCTAGGTCAAGGAAAAGTTCTTGGAGGAGCTGCTCACGAAGTGTAAGTGTGAGCCCTAAGCGAAAGAGAAGCTCAAGGCAGAGGTCGAGGGACATCTCACGAAGCATTTCTCCATCACGTAAGAAAAGTACCAAGGGTCCAGAGGGAGTGTCTCTTCGCAGCCGCTCTAGAAGTGCGAGTCTGTCATCCAGATCATCCAGATCTGTTTCAAGATCAGTGACTCCTAGGTCCGATTCTTCATCCTGAAGGGTAGTGACGGATATATATATGCTCTGCTATAGTTGATATGTAATCTGAATGGAACGTGTCCTTTTTAAGTGACTGGCTTTGTTTTTAGGGATTTTATTATTAGGATTGTGAAGCTTGTTGATCTTGAGAACTACAGTAATCAAATTGTAATAGAAATTTGCTCATCGTCTCTAGTATGTTTTATTTAATGAGTTGCCTGATTCACTTCAATGCCCAAGTTCTTGAAGAAGAATTTCGTGCTTAAAATTGAGCAAGGGAAAAGCTCTTCGTCCACTCCTGGCCGGAAGTATAGGTACTGTCATTGCAATGATTCATGCATAACGTTCTAGCTTCGAGCATAATGGGGGTAAAACACAAAGAAGCATCATTTTCTAAAATACACGAAACCCTTTCAGAGCCCAGCGACGCCTGATCAAGAGATTCAGAGCCTGCACGATCAAACTGATGACCTTTTAACTTTCAAGCTGGCTGTTGCTGGAGAAAATTCTTAACTAAAGGAGCAGCTTGAGCTTTCCGTACATGGTTCCATCTGGAGTGACTCAACTCTGCTTTACCACTCGACACGTTAGATGGTTCCGTATAGCATCGGGATCTCTTGACTATTTATCTCAACCAATATGCTTCAGAGTATTTATTCCAGACCAATGCGCCTCATAATAAATATAAAGATCAAATTATCTCGTTTATCTCTTTAAATTACTCCTGATAAAGGCAGAGCGGAGATATTAATATGAGCTATGATTTCCTTAAAATGATAAAATTTTGAATTTTTTTCTTTTAAATTTGACATTTTCAAGTTCAAATAGTAATAAATTACATTTCCACTCACTAAATGAGAAAAATCAATTTTTTTTTTTGAAAAAATTATGAAGTTCTAAATTAATACAACGATAGAATAAAATTTTAGCACTTTAAAATTTTATAATTTACTTCTAGCTTCACCCATCTTATAGTAAATGGAGCTTTGGGGGGTGTACTTATTCCAAACCACACGGTCTTATGGATTCCATGCAAATGTGAAAAGACCGATATTGGTGGTGCTCCTCATCTGTAGCAACTCATTTTTGAGATCCTACAGAAAGCTTCCAACATTCATCACTTCCTTTCAATATTTTTTTTTATTAATTTCAGATAATCAGATTATGTGCAAAGTAAACATCATGCATTATACATTACATTTCTTTGGCTTTATACAGGAAACTGACAGGGACCGTTCTTTCTTTCTTTTTTTCACAGGAATCACTACTCACCCTTCTCCTGTTGCCGTAGATACTTCACACTCCACAATCCATTGGCAGCTAAGGTTCTGCTAACAACAAATTATGCATGCAACCGATTAGAAAATTGAAGGTACATGGGTTATATTAGCAAAGCTACCAGTCAGTTCACAATTGCACATTTTATACAGGTTATAAAACTACTTCATAAGCTTCTATAGCTTATAGTCTAAGCATCCAGTTATTACAAATTACCATTTAGTCACTCACATCCGATGCCTTGTAGAGACTAAGTATTCATACCAGATTCTTCAAAGTTGACTCTCTCTCCGGTGGAAAATTTACTGTAGAAAAGTGCCGCAAGAAAGTATAAGAGTGATGTGAGTAACAGAAATCCTTGGAATGATCCAACCAGCTCAACAAAGAAACCGGTTCCAACTGTCCCCACAATAGCAGCAAATGTTCCAGCAGTATTTGACAACCCTATGATCAGAAATAAAGGGATCATTAGTTAAACCATTTACATTTGCAGATTGAAGTTTACTGCTTAAGGCAGTTTGCTTTCCAACTTTTCAGTTGAAGAAATAAATAAAACAATATTGACATATGATGTGAACACAATATCATACCATGTAAAACGCCAGAATAATGTGGAGCAATCTCCTGGTAACAGAAAGAAAAGGGAGAGAGTTAGAAGAAAGAGAAAATTTCATTCAATCTTATAATCTAACATTTGAAGATTACTCAGCAATCCGACCTGAAGGTTGACAAGGAAACCGCAATGACTGAAGGCTTTAAGTCCAACAGCAAAACTAAGCCAAGCGGATGCAACCGATGGAGTTTTTGCTGCGGTTAAACCAATCAGAGCAACCGCAGGACCAATAAAACCAATGGACTGCAAATAAGAAACAGGTTGGATCATATTAAGCAGAAAAGAAGTCAGAACCAAATGAAGACGAGCAAATAAAAATCAATAGAATATAAGCTAATATAAGAGACTCATTTATGAAGTTAATAGCATCATTATCTTTGAACATTACCTGCATGATCTTGCGAGTCAAAGTGATACTGGTACCAGTCCATATCAATGTGTCTGACCATAAACCAGCTAGGTATCCTGTAAATGCCATCATGCACCATGGAACAGCACTAAACCATGCTGCTTGTCTGAGATCAACATGATGCACCTGTGCCAAAATGTTCCTTATGTGCAACTTAAAACAAGATTATATTCTTGCACACATCTCACAATGAACAACTCATGGTGAAGTTTTCCCCTTACCGAGTTAAAGTAGATAGGCATCCATGAGAGAATAACAAAAAAGCCCTGGAAGATTTTGTAAGAAGGTTAGAGTAATTGCAGATACATGAAACCACATCACATAGAGCCTGAAAATAGATGTTGTAATGAGAATTTTCCACTGCTGAATCATTTCCCCGTCAATTACTGCACGATGCATCTAAATTCTAAAAATGTGTGCATTCACTGGAAGGAATGCCAAAAACTATTAAATCCGTGTGTGTTGTGGGGAGGTAGCATGGTTATGTTGGTGGGCAATACAAGGCAACAGTGCATTGCTTGAACTTGGGAAGAAGAATACAGCAGAATGTTCAGAGTGTATTCACAAGCTGCATAATCCTAGCAAGTTTTGAAAATTTTCAACATTGTCATGTAATAAGCTACAGGGAAAGGATGTGCATTACCCAGCTATGCATGGCATTTGCAACAATTAGGGACCATGTTGGCATTTTAGAAAGCAATCTTATGAATGGAGGGATCATTGTGGTCTTAGGTTTGCTTTCCACTGCATGAGATTTTTGTCTCTTGTTCATTATGTATTCCAGTTCATATTTTGATATCCGGGGACTTAGGGCAGGTGTATTTGAGGTCGCAGATAACCATACTAAAACCCAGAGAAATCCGCATAGTCCAAATATTACAAAAGGGCCAAATATGCCACCTTGGGACATGAGAATTGGGGACAAAGTGAGTCCTATTGCATTTCCAAGCTGAAATCCAGCCATTGCCATTGCAACAGCCCTTGAGCGTTCTGTAGATGGAAACCATCTAAAAGAAAATTTTCGCACAATACTTCAACAATTGGGCTTGCATATTATTACTAAAAAGCTGAACTTGCTAGAAGGCACATGATTTAAATCATCAAGTTATGTTGATCATCATCAAACTGTAAATATAGTCAGACCATTAATACCTAGCTATCATGTTGTTCATGCAAGGAAGAGCTACGCCTTCTGCAACACCAAGCATAGCATTTGCAAAAAGTAATGCCAATAAAGAGTTTTCAGCAGCCCAAGGCGTAAGAAATGTAGCTAATGACCACAATGCCACACCGCATGCCATTACGGCCTTACCACCATAATAGTCCACTAATGTCCCTCCCGCTATTGGTGAAATTAAGTATCCCCATAGAAAGGATGACTGCAACAAATTTTAAACAAACGAGTGAGAATCAGACACTTAATTTTAGACCATTATTATTAAAAAAAAATCAAGCACCCGAGTTTAATTATTCAATAAAATCAAATTGACTGGGAGCTTAGTTGTTCTACCATTTAGACAATCTAACGTAACAAACATGTGTACATTTAAGGCTTTGGTCGTTACCTTCTCTTCTATAACTTTGCTACCTACAACGTCTTCAAAATTCAAACGTAAATGACTTGAGAGAAAATCATGTAATTGGTTTAATTCTGTCATGTCATGCGTTTGAACTAAAAAAAATTACGTTTTGCCACAAAATTCAACTCATTTCCAACCACAAACAAATTCTTTATCTTCATAGTTGAATGTCAAGGTAACAAAAAACCGAATGTATAATCAAGAGAAGCAAAACCAACCGACCTGAACAATGCCGCCAAACGACCGGCTCCATCCATCAACAGCTGACAACGGCACAATCGCCACTGACATCACGACTCTATCCGCATTGCAAAGCGCCAAAGCTAAAGCCAGTATCGCCACCACTTTAACACGCTCGGACGTGATGAACTCGGAAAAACTCGACGAGTCAGCCTCGCCTTTGCTCGGCAACGAACCGAACTGAGCATCGTTGGATTATTTTGATGTTTAAAAATCGATTTTAATGTTTAAAAATTGATTTTAGATTATAGTTATATAATTAGATTATTATTTTGATAAAAATTTTATATATTTATTTTAGTTTGAATGGGTGTCATATTCTACTGATGATGTGAGGGCGGTGATCCCACCTGAGTTGAGGGGACCATCAGATGTTTGGATGACGATGGTCCCCTTGATCTGTTATGCGACCGTCGAGTGGCACTCCACTGATCGCGTGCTCCGGCAATTTGGTTGTTTTCAACCAATTCCGGAAGCACCTCGCAATATGGACGAGTTGCATAGCACAGATAGACGCGGCAAGACATATACAGATTGGCTAGTGAGGCATCATGAGTGGGTCGTGTTGTGGGAGGATCGACATCGGAGCCTTTCCCGTCGAGAGCTCATTTTACTTGACCTCTTGATGGTTGCTGACGGTTATTATGAGTGGTTCAACAGTAACGGGAAACCGTTTCTGCTTCCCGAGGATGTACGAGGGCAGACCTTTTCGCGACGTCGACAGAGACGTTCACCGATACAGCACCATTGTCCCCTGACTCGTGGACGGAGAGCAGGCGCTTCCGGTTCATCCTCAGCTGCACCGGCAGGACCTTCACAGCAGCCACCGTAGCCATATATGATGCTGCCACCGCCTTTCCATTACCAGATGTCACCACCGCCGCCTTCACTTGGTTTTATGACTCCGCCGCCGCCACTGTCATAGATGACCCCTCCTGGAGGCTATTATGAGTCTATGTTTGCAGATTCGACTTGGAGTTCATATATTGGATATTTGGCGGGTTTAGCCTCATCACCTATGGCCGCAGCACAGACACCTCCTGTACAGTTTTCATACTCAGCGATGTCTGGGTTTTATGAGTTTTCCCAGTTTTCGCAGGCCGGTAGGATAGTCAGTCATGCACCTCTAGGGTCCTTATTCTATAGAGATGCTTCATCGTTATCAGCTCCTCATCAACCTAATGTACCTACTCAGGACGACGACGACGATGATGATGGTGATGATGATGACAGCGAGGAGTCACAACCAGTGATACGAAGAAATCCTCCTCGAGACCGACAGCCACCGCCCTGCGGAACACATTCGCGTCGCAGGCATCAATAGATTTTGTTTTTTATTATATTTATATTTAGTTTATTGGACTTTTTAATTGTAATTTTTATTATTTCTCATTTAATACTTACTTTATTTTGTTAAATTTGTTGGACTTTTTTAATGTATTTCAGTTAATTTTGTTTATTATCATTTAATATCAGTTATTGTAATTTGGTTATCATTTACCATTTAATACTTATTGTAAGTTTGTTGTATTTAAAATTATTTTGAAATACCAAATTATTATCAGTTTGATAAAATTTAATGATTGTGTTCGATAACTTTCTTAAGTTTGTCACTTATTATCTCTTTTATTATAATCACATATAACGCAAACGTCCAATCTCGTATTATTGTATCGTTTTTTTAATCTTCATCAACGATTATCGAATGACATTAACTTGATGTAAATGCAAATTAAAGTACAAGAATTATTATTTGATAAACAAATACATCATTTCCTCATCAATTGTTACTTGATGGCAACAGAAGTGGACATGTTTTTCTAGTGTGTCTTGGGTTTCTACAATGCCCACATCTTCTGTCTTGTCTAGATCTTTCTCGAATATCCATATCGCAATGAATTCGATTGGACTTTGGACGACCACGCTCCCTCAATAAACTCGGATTTGGTACAATCAGAAGCCAATCTTAAACCTCATCAGGGTCTCTATCATTACCTATGGAGGGAAACTCAAATTCATATACCTTAAAAACTTCAGATAGTAGATATACAAGATCCACAAAATGGTTATAGTCTTGACGTGTATGCGAGCAAGCTGCTATCTCATGAGAGCATAGATACTTCAGAGCTTGAAAAAACCCGCAGTTACACATTCTGTCCCTTAGATTTACTCTTAACGACACAACTTCAATCCCTTGAAGAGGTCGCGACAACTCTGTGACACGAAACATTTCATGCCTTCTAGAAAATCTTGTTACATACATTCCATTTGATGCATAATTTTTTTTCTGTAGATCTGCAACTAATTTAGGGTGATAGACATGACCGCCTTGCATCCAGGTTTGAGCTTGTCCCCCGAGCTTCCCAAAAAGCGCCCCCAAACAAAAATATGTAGTCTTTACCAAATTCGCTACTGGTAAGTGACGTGCACCCTTTAAGGTTGAATTGATTGCCTCTGCCAAGTTGGTCGTCATGTGTCTATATCGATATCCACCATCATATGCATTCGTCCATATTTCTTTATCGATGAGGCTGATGTAATCGTATCCTACCTCGTTATTCGCCCGCAAATCTTGAAGCATTGATTCAAACGTTCGAGGAAGTAGTTCGTAACCTGATCAAAAAATGTATAACTTACTAATCTGCTTTCTTTGCAAAATTAAAACGATCGAAAGAAAACAAACTACATCAGTTTCACTTACACATGCACACAATTAATTGACGCTCATTATGGCATTAAAATCATTACACATTACTGTAGTTGGGCTGACAACTTGTTCTGCCAGCCCATAGTGGGAGTTTAATTATTGACCCCGAACAGCACGCACTTGAACAAAATATGCATACATCTCAATATCGGCGTCTGAATAATTACTTTTCAACCATCATTTCAACATCATCATTGTTCGAAAGTTCGAACGCTGTATAAGTTAATGGCAACAATGACGTTGGAAATTTGTACTGCAACGACTACATTCTTCTACTACTTCCAACATGAATCTTCCTCGAAATCGTCGTTATCAGCTCCTCAAGAGTTATGTTTCTCTTGAATGATATTTTAACACGCTCATTTGATATGAAAACAACGCCGGTTTTATCTTCTCGAATTTCACCATCATAATAAACAATAGCTGAAAGTCGCGCCATTCTTTGAGTTTAAAAGTGCGGCAATATTATATCTGCAAAAAAAAACTGAAACAAACCTGATTAAATAAATAATATATGAACGAAAATATAACACAATAAAATTTTTACACATCAACGTAAATAATTTAAATAATATAATTTTATATTATTACCTGCACCGCAAAACTATTTCGACTTATACTCCCGCTTTCCAATTTTACAAACACAAAAATTAATTGAAAATAATTAGTGTAATATTTAAAAAAAAAAATCATAATAAACAATAAGTATAATAAAAAAATTATAACAAAATTACCTTATAACGAAAAATCACACGAACTTCTAAATCAAATATGAGAAGATTGCCAGAATTATTGACTCATTGACGGAATTGTTGTATTAATTTATAAGTTGAGAGGAGAGATGTGAGGAACTTAACGGGGGAGAAGGGTATTTATAGCCGAAGTCGCTATAGGTATCGGGCCTTATATAATTATATAAAGGTATGGTGCGACCCTTGTCCCGCGTTATATATAATTTAGAATTAAAGGTAAGGCACAGCCCCTGCCCCACGCTATACCTCAACGTGGCGTAAGACGTGCCCCAGGGGTCGCGCTATACCCACGTGTATTCATGTCAACATAAGGTGCGCTTCAGGGGGCGCGCCTTACCCCACGTGGCGCCAAATCAACATATAGCGCGATGCAGGGGGCGCTTTACTGCTAAGGGTGTTAGATCGGAAAATATAATCTGACCGGTGTTAGATCGGTAAATATACTGGTCACCGGTGATTTTTCGGGAAAAACGCCTAAATATATTTATTCAAATTTAGAATTTTAATAGGGGGAATAATATTTCTTTTACTATTGAATTAACTTTTCAAACATAAATACTAAAGATGATATTCTCAGCCATACTCAAATAAAAAAATTATTTATATATATAATAGAAATTTATTTAATACATATAATATATAAATTGTAATTTATATAATCTTACTTATTTTATACTAAATCTTAAAATTTAAAACCTTAAATTTTAAAAACTGAACACTAAGTCTCTAAATCTTAAATCTTAAATAAAGTAAATAATATTCAAATAAATCTCTAAATTCTAAAATTTTAAATATTAAATAAGACAAATGACATTTAAATATATAATATTATATAAATCAAATTTTATATAACTTATATATCATATATATATATATCAAATAATTTTTAAAATATAACATCTTAATTTTGTAATTGTAAATGTCATGCTTTCCAGTTTTCACAATCTCAGCTAGAGAACGAACATGGAAAAAGTCAAGGAATTCCTCAAACTTGACAAAGAAGCAGAAGATACCGTCTCACGACTCACTGTTCACCCCATCGAGTCGGTTATGAGCGCAACTTCTACAATGAGTTCGGCTTAAGCGGCCTCCGTGTCGAGAGGGTCGAGCCTGGTTCCGTTTCCTGCACGTTCAAAGTCCCTCCTCGCCTCACCGTAAGCTATCCCCCAAAAAAACCTAGCTCAGATTCCGTGGAATTAGAATTATATCAGATCTCGATTCATTTATTTTTGTTGAATAAATTAACTTTGGTAGGATAAAAATTAGCAGCGGGGGGCATTGCGAATATTGTCGATGAAGTTGATGGGGCAGCGGTCTTGGTTATAGGTCTTCCTATGGAAGTTTCGGTCGATATGTCCATTTCGTTTCTGTTGACTGCTAAGCTCGATGTAAGTCGGCTTTTTTTTTTCACGAAATTAAGAATTTCTAGCTCCTTTGCTGTAGTGAGTCGCTTTGAATTTAGTACTGATAATTTCTTTTGATGAATTGAGTGTTTTCAGAAAGTAATCCACATCTGTTACTTATTTCTTGAATTTTGGCGTATCTTTTGCGGCTTGAATCAGTTAGCCAATTTGATCATGAATTAAAGTCGCTTGAGATTTTCACCATCTGAGTTTGGAACAATAGAAATATATGCAAGTTAATCTCCCACCCTTAAAAAATTTAAATTTTCGTATAATTTATGTATTTTCATTTTATTTTTTATTGATTATCTAATTTCTCAGGCTTAAA